GCTGCAAATCACGTGCTTCATTGTCTAATCTCTGTATTTCTGCATTCATTTTTGCTGTTTCTTCTCTCTGTTTTAATGAATCTCTCGCCATGGCAATTGCTTGATATGGGTTCGTCACCATCATTGCGTTTTCGTTCTCGTTCGAAAATTGCTTCACTTTCTTCGCAGCTGCCACGCACAAATCAAATAAAAGGCATTATAAAGAATCCCCAACTGTTTAAAAGTTTTAAAGATTCTTGAATTTTTTTAGTGTGGGTTTGTTTTTTTTACTTTTTGGGGTAAGTTACAAAAAAACCCATGAACTAAGGTTTAATTACCATAAAGCCCCTCAAGTATTCATAATTACCAAAAACCCTAAATAAAAGTAAAAAATCATAAATTACCAAACAAACCCTAAATAGAAGTAAAAATCATAAATTTCCAAAAATTTGTGTGGTTTTTTTTTACTTTATGGGGTAAATTACAAAACCCCCCCCTAAACTAAGGTCTAATTACCAAAAAACCCCTAAAGTATTCATAATTACCAAAAAACCTATATAAAAGTAAAAAATCATAAATTACCAAACAAACCCTAAATAAGAGTAAAAAATCATAAATTACCAAAAAACCCTAAATAAAAGTAAAAAAAAAACATAAATTACCAAACATCCTTGAGGTATGTATGTTCAACAAACTTCAGGGGGTTTTGGTAATTATGGATACTTGAAGGCTTTTTTTTGGAAATTGACCTTAGTTCAGCGGTTTTCCTGTAATTTACATTTCTTCTATTTGCTTATTATTACTAACCTATAATGGGGGTAATTATGGATACTTGAAGGCTTTTTTTTGGAAATTGACCTTAGTTCAGCGATTTTCCTGTAATTTACATTTCTTCTATTTGCTTATTATTACTAACCTATAATGGGGGTGCTCGATTTAGGCCGTCGGTTGAAATCCAACGATATCAACGGGGCATCGAATGATTCTCGTCGAGACACAACAACAGCAGCAGGAGCTAAGCCCAATTTACTTTTCGATTCCAAGAAATGTTGGGGGAAAACATGCGAGTCTACGGTCTGCGAATTATTCAGTTCTTCACTTTCACCATCGGAAAATAACCACGAAAACGCCCTTCGCCTGAGAATACGAAACAGGTTAAATGGCGAATTCTGAAAATATCAGTAACTTAATATTAATTTAACCAACCTGAAGTCGGAATTGGACGAAGCGAAAATGGACAAGAACTGGTTGATGGATATGCCGAGTTGTAAATCCCACCAAGGTATGAGAAACTCTAGCTTGTTATGCTTTCTTTTGCAGACTTGCCATTGCAATATTCTCAGGTTGCTTAGAACAGTCAATCCTCCTCCTTTAATTTCAAAAATAAAAAATAAAAAATAAAAATAAATAAATAAAATTCTACTTTCTGAAAAACAGATATAAATAAAAGACGAAAATTACTTGAGCAAGGAAACCAATGATCAATGTCCCATGCAAGAGGAGAAGCAGCGTCAGCATGATAGTACAGAACATTGCCATACGGATCCACACGAATTATTTCCGGATCGAAACCCGCATTCCTGGAATTTTTTCATAAAATTGTAAGATATAAATTACACAAAAAAATAAATATTAGTAAATTGAATTGCTTGTATTTATTTATTTCTATTTACCCCAGATGATTGAGCTGTTTCCATAGGAGATTCAGAAAGATCTTGGGCTTGGTTGTGGGTTTTGCCCTCGAGTCAATTATCGGAAACATATCGTCTAATTCCTTTGCTCTTGAATCCTGCAAAAAACATTTGTTAAAAAAAATCCATCCTTAAACAACAATTATCAGAAGAAATATTTGAGCTGCTGCTAGAGTTGTAATAAATAGTGCTAATATATCCGTACTTTAGCTCATGAAGTAAAAAAATAGGGGTTTAGAAAATTGAATGATCTGTAAATGAAAGTCCAATTCTTTCAAATGAAATTCATAAAAATTAAGAAGAATTATCACTCTGAAAGAGGTACGCAATTTTTCACCGTCGAATTCACCATTTCCTCCCAAATTACAAGTCTCTACGTTCAAACCCTCACTGAAACTAAGCATACTTCAAAACGACAATTCAATAAACTGAAAACGACAATCTCCAATTTCCTCAACAAAATTAGGGCTTTTCCCCCCAATCCGATCTAAGTAACATAAACATCAGGCGAAAAATTATTACCTCTTGCGGCACCAAAGCATAAGGAGTGAAAGCGAAAGGCGGGCCATGGCTGAAGGGCCCGAAACCCTTGTCTCGACATAGCTTCGCGTAGGCCCTCGGGTAGCCATGGCTTTCGCTCACCGCCATTTCTTCGTCTGTAAACGCCACATCATTCGACATCTCGAAAACAAAAACCCTACGAATTGAAGAAGGAATCAATCGATCGGAGAAAATTGAGGTGAAGAAGACACAGGAAAAACAGAGTGTGAGTGTGAGAGAAAAGTGGAGCGGGGGTTTTGGTTTTGACGACGATATGAGTTAACGGTCGTTTCCGATTTTTTATTAAAAATAATTTATTTATTTTTGTTTTTGTTTTTGTTTTTTTTTTTTTTTTTTATTAATTAAAAATGTTTGTTAGTGTAACGGCTATATGCGGATGACCCACTCACTCACTCACCCACAGCTCACCATCCATAAATTGCAATGAGTTCTCATTAAAAGCTTGTTCACGCGAAAAGACTAGTTTGCCCTTGAACACTGGTGATTAATTATTGGGTGTTGTATTAAGAGTTTTGGGGTAAAAGGGGGAATTTTTATGGTGAGAATTTATTTCCAAGTAAGATGGTTTGAAACTAAATTAAGAAAGGTAAGATAATAATGATGTGTTTGTTTGAATATGGAATAAAAAATGGTAGTCATAAAAAGTTTGAATAAATAGCCTTTTTAATTTTTGGCACCAAGTCTATTAAATATATTTAATTGGATAATGGTCCCCCTTGTTAACCAAGATAAATTGTGAAAAAAATAGTTGGTCCTTTATTTTTATATTTTTATAATTTTATTACGAAAAAATTCCCTCATTCAGTAGGTAAATTTGACAATGTAAGGTGAACGTGTAAGACAATACATAACTGAGGAGATGGTTGTAATTATCCAAACATGAATATTTTTTTTCTCGTAATTTAACCTTACTTTAGAAGGGGTGACTTAATTTGCCCTTTTATTTATGAAAACACTAAAATCGTTAATGTAATTTTGAATTTTGAGACATCAATTTGAGGTGGGTGCAACTTTTATAAGGTATATATATCATGCATTAAATTTATTTATATTCTTTTTTTCTTATTTTTTTTAATTAAATTTTATTCAATTGTGTGAAAACAGTAGCACTTAATAGGAGGTCATAAAAGAATATCGAATTTGCTTTATTTGATGACATAAAAAAATGCATTTTGATGGCATATATGAATCTCAATGAATATCGGCGTTAATATTTCCAATTAATTAGACCAAATATTTGAGATCACACTTATTAATACTACATTTTATTTAAGTTACGAAAACCCCCTCTTGTTTGGGTAATTATAACTACCCTTTAACTATATATTGTCTTGCGAAAAAATTCATTTTTTCGTAAATTTGATAACGTAGAGATGATAGTAATTACCCGAACAAAAGGGGTTTTTTCGTAATTTGATCTGACCTTAGGGGTTCATAATTTTCACAATTTTTAACAATTGATCTTTGAAAATATCAAATAATTTAAAAATAGTTATTCATTTTTTTGGGCTGGAAAAGAGTAAATGGATAAATTTAAAAGAAAGGGTAAAAGAGTCACGTAAATTGCAAATTGGGCTGGGCTCAAAAACCTAAATATGTGGGTTTAGCTGTGGCAAAAAAATGTCCAATAAATTACTAAAGATTAGGCCCAAGTATGATTTGCAGGTCTAATGAATAATCAATAATTCAAATTATTACAAAATAAAAATTATAATATATAGTTTAGAGCATGAATGAAAAAGTAAAGATAAATAGTGCATCTCCATAATGCAAGTTAACCAACCCACAACTAAATTGGTCTTCTCTTTAGCTGTTCACCATTATTATTTAGAGTTGCTAAGCTAACCTCTAATATTTTTTGTTGGTTTGTATAATTGAATATTGAGCATCATTAATGTTAGGTAAATTTGTTGCAATAACATGTTTTTATGGTTAGGTAATTATAATTAAGGGAAAATTATGGCAACGCCCTGAAGGTAAGGTCAAATTACGAAAAAAAACCCTCATGTTTGGCTAATTACAACCAACCCTATAATTATGTATTGTCTTACACGTCCACCCTTATGGTGTCAAATTTACCTATTAAAAGAGGATTTTTTTCGTAATTTTACCAACACATGGGAGGATTTTTTCGTAATTTGACATTACCGCAGGGGCGACCGTAATTAATTACTCTACAGTTTTTGAATTAACATTTATTTAAAATTTGAAAAAAAAAACATGTTCATTATTACATCTTTTAATTCATTAGGTAATGATTTCATGATACATTATATTACAATAATTATGTAGTCTTCTTCCTTTTCACAATAAATTAATTACCTGGAAAATCTTTATGGGTCAAATGGTGCCTTCACACCAAATAATTGAAATCTAATTCTATAGAAATAATTGAAACTACTAGCTAGGTAAGTTGATTTTTCCATTTTATTACTCAAATTTGGTGCAATAATATATATATGGATACTGCAATTGACCTAATAATTATATCAATATATAAGATTATTTTTTTCCTAGTCATCCATATTTAGGTAATCTAGTGATGGTCAACTAGGTGCAGAAAGTTGGTCAAATTATATTGATATTATTACATAATAAAAGGAACTAGATTTTTATATGATTTTATTCCAGACAATATTAGCAACACACTAAATTAAAGCCCTGCAATTATTTGAAAATTAAAATAAAATAATAAAGTCATAAAAAAATATTAAAAAAATGGATCACTAATATAATATAATGATGCTGAATGCCACTATCAGTGGACTTCATTAGAACCTCCAAATACCATTGGCTATTAATTTTCAATAAAATAAATAAAATAAAATTCCTGGTCTAACATAAATGCAATAATTATGAATATATGTATGTATGAAAATAGACTTTGGCTAAGTGTTGAGGAAATATGTTTGAATAACTAAGTTTAATGTAAATTGTTGTCACTTTTATTAATAAAGAAAAAAATAAATAAAAGAAGTTAGGGGTTGAGGGATAGACCAAATTAATTGTTTGACTCATTCTTTGTCATAAGCAGGCAAACTAATTAAGGGTCTTCATATGTCATGGTGTGGAAAATTTTATTGACAGCAATTTTGTAATTGATAAACGTACACTCTCGTATAATAGTTATTAGTTTGTAAATTATATGAGGGATGCAAAACACACTGGGTTAACTATATGTGACAAGTTCGATCCAACGAATGTTGAAAAATTAATTCGAACTTGAGTCAATTAACACGAACTGATCACTTGCTCCAACCGCTAGAGATATGTTATCGAGTAACTATTACTTATTGATGGTGTACAAGAATAAGAATGTTTAAATTTTTCTATTTTATTTTATTTTATTTATAATATATAATAATAGATCAAGAACCCCAACAAAATTAAACAACGATAATTAAAAAGCTAGCCCATAACCATTTTCACTTCTTGATATTGTCTGTTCTTCGATGATTCGATCAGCATTATCTCACACACACACACACACATGCATACATTATATATATATATACATATATATATATATATATATATATATATATATATATATATATATATGTATAATGGTATATTTCTCCAACTTACTCTTATTGGCTGCTTTGAGTGCACTTTCTTTTAGTCCATATCTCTTCATGGCAAAAGCTAGTAAACTCAAAAAAGGATCCCATAAAAATAAAAATAAATAAAGAACAAAAATAGAGAAATATTAACCAAATAAATGCATGTTATATATATATATATATATATATATATATATATATATGGATCATGTGAATATACCTAAATTCAGTGACATGTAAATTCATTTTCAATTTCTATTTCCAATCTATATATGTAAATAATGAATCAGGCAATGTATGAACTTCAAGCCTTCACGTGTTTACTAGTCGTCCCCAAATTTTCATAACTACAATTTCGAAATTTTGTGGGACATTAACATTAATTGCAATTTCCTAACCATTTTATTCACGGGCATAGGGCACACGACTTTTAGAGAGCTTAGTGAGAACTTAGTTACAGAGATCAGTTATGTTTATTAATCATATACAGTGAAATACCTACACTTATTTACAATTATCTGAATGTGATTATATGCGCGTGTGTGCGTGTGTGCATGAGTCACAGTGTGTGGTGTATGTGTTCGTGTGTGTCGTTATATGTATAATATCAAATTATTAAAACTCAACTAAAAACTTTTCTAGCCAAAAAATAAAAATATATAAAGAAAAAAGAAAAGAAATAAAAAATAAATAAAAAGAAAAAAAAAAAATAGAAGTCTTTTGAACCGATTTGAACGGAACGCCTAACAGGGTCACTCATGCAAAGATAAAGTTGTTATCCCAAAAGGACAAATAAGTCCACCGAATCTTCCCGGCCCATTAACTTATATTATAATATATATACCAACCATTAAATTCTTATTTCCTTTAAAAAAAAATTAAATAATTAGGAACTATATTAAATTATTTAGTTACACCATATTTAGGCTTGAAAATAATTTCTCCCTATATTTTGCCCCAAAATAAAAGTACCTTTGAATTGATTATACTTTTATGTTGACTACAGTCCACATGGGTTATTTTTTTGGTAAATTATAATAATGCCCCTGGACTTGGGTTGAATTATGAAAAATACTTTTATCCATCTATAATTACGAAAATTCTCTGATATTTATTTCCGTCTCACACCAACCCGTTTATAGTGTGATTTTCGCTAAGTCTTTTTCTTAAGAGAATATTCCCCAAAATTGCCGATTCTACCCCTAAGAATAATCTTTTATTTGACTTTGGTAAACCTTCTACAATAACCTCATTTTGTTCAACATTACATTAATGTCACTATACTTCGTGGATTGATAACATTGATTCCACGTTGCAGGGTAGAATCAACATTTTTCAGGGAATATTCTCTGGTATTAGAAAGATTCTGTCAAACATCACACTAAGGGAGGATTTTGATAATTTCAAATATGTGGGGGGTGTTTTGCATAATGTAGTCTAAGTTTAGGGATATTTTCGTAATTTACCCCACTTTTTTTTAAAAAACTTATTTTATGATATTTCACTAAGAACACAATATTATTTTTTAACAATGAAGGTAGACAAATGCAATAAACTCCCATTTAATAACAATTCATGAATGTGACTTAACTATTCTGACTGGGGGCTGCATGAGCCGAACAAGCAATATTCTTTTTACTAAAACCAGGGATTCTACTATACTACTTTCTGCCATCCTTTTTTCCATTTCTGGCAATTAGATTAATTTGCTAAAATCAAATCAATTGTCATTCAATGCAACAATTTAATTTACAAAAAATTAAAATAAAATAAAAAATTAACCAATCAAAATTCACTGTTCATAACTGCAAACAAAAGCTTCGGTAAAAACAGTTTTCAGACACTCACTGACAGAAACCAAAGATGAGAGTGAAGAAAAGAACTTCAACAGAAATAAAAATGGCAAATTACGGTCAAACCCTTATGTACGCTTAAATTACGAAAAAAACCCCTCATCTTTTCGTATTTAGAATGACCATCAATTATGTATTGTCTTACAGGTCCACCCTTACAGTGTCAAATTTACCTACCAAATGAGGGAGTTTTTCGTAAGATAAATCATAATTAAAGGATGATTGTAATTATCCAAACGCGATGGGGTATTTTCAGAATTTGACTAAATAATTTAAAAATTAGTGAACTTTCTCAACTGTACACTGACAGACAACACTGACAGGTGGAAAAACATTTTGCTTTATGTGTGAATAAATTATCCTGTTCTTGATCAACTTCTTTAAATAATACAAAATTAAATTAAATAATGGATTTGCAAGTAGAAAAGAAACAGTTGGCTGCTAACATGTGGAACCTATGAGCAGTACTATGAACCAATTTCTACGGCCACAAACAATATAATGACCAATAAGTATCAATTTCTCAGAGATCATAACTAAATTACGAAAAAAAAAATTTGGGTAGTTACAACAATCACTTAATTATGTATTTTCTTATAAAAAAAACCCCTCATTTAGTAGAGTAGGGGTGGAAATATAAGACAATAAATAGTTGAGGAGAACATAGCAAATTACGAACAAACCCTTCATTTTTAGGTAATTACAACCACCCCTCAATTATGTATTTTCTTACGAAAAACCCCCTCATTTAGTAGAATAGGGGTGAAAGTGTAAAACAATAAATAGTTGAGAGATGTGGTTGTAATTATCCAAATAGGAGGAGAGTTTCGTAATTTGAACTTACCTTCAGGATTCAGCCGTAATTTGAACTTACCTTCAGGATTCAGCCGTAATTTTCCCTATCAATTTTGATTTACGAACAATAATATAACTTAATGAAGTTTACGCAATGTATTATATAACAAATTGGTTAATTGCAACAAACAATTATCGGAAAATCGAAACCAAAATCGAAACCGAAACAGAATTGATGTGTTTTTTAATCCACTACTGAAAAATCTAGCTAGATTATTACAGTAATTAATTAACATAATATAATCCTAGAAAATTGAATTATAGTACTCAAATTTATAATGAGTATGAAATTACAAACCTGTTTTAACTGTAATAAAAAAACTCAGATCCATGTAATAAGCAAAAAGAAAAAGAAAAAAAAAACATTTTAAAAATAGGAAGCAAATTCATCATCGTTATCGCATAATGGGGCGGACGAATTCTTCATCGGAAACTGCAGAAACAGCAATTTGGCTGACGTCATCTTCCTCTTCATCCACCGGAGCAGGCAGATTCAGATCTATCTTCAGTTTTTCCCTGATTACCGGACTCTGTTTGGAAGCTGCTGCGGCGGCGGCGGCGGGGGTGGCGCCGCCGATGAAATGCGTTCTCTTATGCCCACCAAGTGCTTGCCCCGACGAGAAAACCCTATCGCAGAACGGGCACTCGTGCACCTTCTTCTCCGGCGGAGAGCCTGAAACCTTCCGCGGCGGCGACGGCGGCGGCGGCGGCGGGGTGTTGAGTTTGATCTTCTTGTGGCTAGCCCGGTGGCCACCAAGTGCTTGATAAGACCTGAACAGCTTGTTACACTCCTCGCATCTGTACTTTCCCCTACCAACTTTTGCCTTCACCGCCGCGCCGGAATATTCCTCTTCCTCCTCCTTCTGCCACGTGTCTCTGGACAGCATTATAAGACAGTGAGCAAGGTGCTCCTCCGACGTGGTGTCGGAAACAGAACTCAACTCCGCCTCCGGCGAGCAGTAGCCGCCGAACTTGAGTTTCTTATCCACGTGAAAAAACCCGTCCTCCAAATCGGAAACCCTCGATTTCCTGACCCGGTTCGATCTTCTGCAAATCGGGTCGGATTCGGAACCAAACCCGTGATCCACCAAAAGCGCGCTTTCTTCTTCTTCATCATCATCATCAGATGAAGAAGAATAGGAATCATGAACAACATCAAAATCAACAGAATCAAAAGCGTGTTTGACTTGTTCGCGCTTATTCGAAGCATAGAACTTCATCATGTGGGATCTCATGTGGCCCCCTAAAGCTCTGCCATTACCAAAGCTTCTCAAACAGAGCTTGCATCTGTGTCTCTTCTCCATCATCATTAATATTAATATTAATTTAAATAAAAATAAAAATAAAAATACTTTTTTTTTGCACGCAGTAAGCGTGTTCTAGTGTGTGTGATTTGAGAGAAAAGTACACAAGAGTGTGGAAAGCTAAAAAGAGTAGGTGACAAGCATTCCTCCACCCATGGAATATATACACCCACACACACAGACCACACTGTTTTATATGTGTCTCTGTGTGTGTGTATATATATAATATTTTTATGGGTAAATTACAACTACTCCCTGAGGAACGGTTAAATTACGAAAAATCCCTCATGTTTGGATAATTGCAGCTACCTCCCTCAACTATGAATCTTCTTACACGTTCACCCTTCTGGAGTCAAATTCAACAGAATCTTTCTAGATTCCGTGGAATGTTCTCTAGTTTGTACTCGTTTTTGTGCAGAAATGCAGTTTCTGATGCACCGCATTCTAATATATACAACCCAAAAAAAAACATCTTTTGATCATCTTGCTTCAGAATGTGGAGCTCGAATGGGATAATACGAGTACAACATTGTGAATATTCCATATATAATCTAGAAGATTCCACTAAATTTGATACCGCAAGGGTGGATGTGTAAGAAATTTTATAGTTAAGGGGGCTGGATGTAATTAGCCAAACATGAGGGGTTTTCTTGTAATTTACCCTATTTATTATTGTTATATTTTTATTGAATAACTAGGATTCTGGATTATATTTGAAGTTATATTTTATTACAAAACGGCAATAGGTAATTAATATGAAAAACTAATTCAAGCAGAATGGTTCAAGGCATAGAGACAAACATGTAACATGCGAGCTTTGCAATAAATACAATCCTATCTTTTTTTTTTTATTCTTTTTTTTCCTTAAAAGCCCCTTGACTTTTTACTTGACTCCCAATTCTTTATTTTTTCCTTAATTGAAAGTCAATTGTGTGAAATATTACAAGGGTAATTCTTGTAATAAAAGGGAGGTTACATAAAAGAATTTAATAAACCTGATTTGGCTCTTATACAAGTCAAGCACTACTGCACTAGGGACCAGACTGCAAAGAATAAATGAATTTTGATGTAAATAAAAAAGTAATCTATCCCTTTAATTTTTTGTATCTTGAAAAAAAGAAAAGGGTTTTGCAGATATTGAAAATCTTGAATTTTTTTATTTATGGAGATTTGGAGTTATGTGAATATTAAATGAATATTTCGAGAGCATTATTCTTGAAATTAAATGTGATTAACTTCAAATTTGAAATCAGATTTCGAAAAGGGTATTATAGCAAGTATTAAGTGCATTGGGTCTTTGGCGTGGCATATTGACCAATTAAAGTGGGATTATGCAATTAATCTAATTTATTATTGATTAATTAATTGGAAATAAAATTTTGTGACTATGAATAGTGGCCCTTTTTTTTTTTTTTTTTTTTTTTTTTTCCTTCTGAAAATTTGGCTTTAATTATGGATCTTTGGTGGGAATGGAGGTGAGAAATGTGAAGGAAACTAACTAACCTATTTCCTTTGAAAATGGAGTTTTGTAGGAAAGTAAATGCCATTTTATTAGGGCAAATGGTGGACCTAAGACTTGAGAATTAGATTATACACCTGGTTTTATACACCGAGTGGATTTCAATCGTAAATTTATTTAAATAAACACCCATTAATTACATATACACGTGAATGTGTGTGATTATATGTAGATGTACGGTAGAAATCGACCTATTACAAAATAATAACCAGGTGTAACATCTAATTACCCCGTAAGAACCTTGATTTACAATTTTTCCCTAGCATTACCTAAATCTTTAGCATATAACTATTTTTTATTAAGTATTTTAATGATAATAATAATAATTATTATTATTATTATTAGGAGGACGAGTTCAAGTTCTATTTGTACGAAAGCTCTTATCAAAAGTTTGTTTTGTCGTACTTATTTGAAAAAAAAAGGACTCGAAAAAATGGGCAAATGCGTAAACTGCACCGGACAAACTACGTGCAATAAACTCAATCTACAAATATATCGAACTCAACTATACAACTATATTCTAGTTAGTTCACCAACTAACTAGAATTAAGGTTAGGGGTTAGGGGTTCTTGATTTTAGGGTTGCAAGTTATTTTACATTTAAGCCACGCGCCATTTAGTGGAATTAAGGTTCTTAACTATGTTTACATGCATAGTTTTCATAAACATGACTTTTAGACGATGTGATTATGGTTAAGTAAAGTAATAATGACGTGGCAAGAATACTATGAAATTGAGTTAGGCCCAAAGCCAAAGTTGGCAATAACTTCACTACTTCCCGAGATTCATTACTCCATAGGCTTTAGTTGGAGTGTTGGACCATAAATTCAATTGAGTTTAAATTAATAAAGCAAAATCTAATATATATATATATATATATATATATATATATAAAGCAAATTAATAAATATATATAATTAAGACTGATATAATCAATTTCTTGGCTGACCGTTGGACTAAAAGGGAAGAAAAGGAAAAGCAAATGATCATAAAGTCAACGGGCCTCTCACCGTTGGTTGGTGTTAATTCTATGAGGACTTTTCATTATTCCTACGTGAGTCTCGTTGACTAATTGCTTCTCATGTTGACACAATTGACATATTTTTATCATATGAAGAAAAATGAAACAAATTAAATAAATAAAAGCGGAATGAACATATATGAATCAACGAGTCAACTAATCAACAAGTTGATCAATTGTCTCGCGAGGGACGGCCTAGCGGTTGTAGCAAGTGAATTTGTTTTAATTAACTCAAGTTCGAATTTCCTTTATTAATGGCTGGTAGATCGAGCATGTCACGCATGATCAGCCCAGAGTGATCGTATGATTTGCAAGATACTATACGAGAGTGTAGGTCTATTCAGTGGATCTATATGGTTGACTGCAAGTTCCTTTAATGAAAAAAAAGTTGATCAATAATTTTTTTTTTTATGTCATTTATTCACAGATTATTGGACAATGAATATATAACTTATTTGGGCCAAGATCAATCTTGAAAAAAAAAACATCTCTTGCATGTAAAGCCCACCACGCAAGTGTAGATCGAGATCCATTGTAACATGTACTTTCGAATTAATAATATATGGTCCATAAATTTGGGCCGCCAAAAAGCGAAAAAATTACGAGAACCACCAGAGGTAAAGCATAATTATGAAAATCCCCCAATTTTTGTGTAATTACAAAAACCCCATAATGTATGTTTACTTCTTACACAACCCTAACGTAATAATTAAAGAGATTGCCTCCAAAGTAACATCGTACGTGGTCTGTGTAAGGCGACAATATACCTCAGGGAGATTTTAGTAATTACACAAACATGAGGGGATTTTCGTAACCAGACCATTCATTATATGTTTTTTGGTAATTTACATTATTATTTAGGGTAAACCCCACTTTCCCCCTAGTACTTTAGCTCGGTATCACTGTATCCCATTCTACTCTCATTTGCATCGATTTGCCCACTTGAAACATTGTCACAATGTGGCCCTCGTTGTTAGTTGTCAGACATATGACCTTAACAACGTTCAGTCTAAGCTCTGAAATTACAAAAACACCATCCCTTCCATTTTAAATAATTATTAAAAAAACAATCAAGACAACAAGAAATCATAGTCCACGAGACAAAAAAAAAAATATTATTATATTTTTTTAATAATTATTTTTTTGTAATTTTCAGACATTGGACCAAACGGTGTTAATGTCAAAGGTCTTAAAACTAACAGTAATAGCCATATTCAGACAATTTTTCAAGTGCAAGGTACAAATCAATGCAATCGAAAGTAGAAGAGGGTAAAGTGATATCGAGGCACCAAAGTACAAGGGAGAAACTCGAATTTACCCTATTATTTATTACAAATAAAATTGTGGAAAAAAAAAAAAACCCGAAATACACGGTGAGGCATGGACTCGTTTTGTTTGACTCCTTTTCTATATAGAGAGAGAGAAATGGAGGGAGGAGAGAAATGCACTCCTCATCAGTCCACTCCACAACTACTTCAAAAAAAAAAAAAAAAAAAAAAAGAAAACCACCCCTCCATCCGCCGCTGAATAGGCTGAGCAACGGCGGCGCCACCACTAGAAAAAGTCTCTCTCACTAGTCTCATCTAACAAGAGAGTCAAGCCCCTCCCTCCACTTGTCACACATTACTCTCCACTCACACTCCTATTTCTCTCTCTACCCCTCTTATTATTTTCTACCCCTTTCTCTAACCTCTCACCCCTAACAAATACAGTTAGTTAATTACTCCCTCCAATATTAACTATAAACTAGGACTAACGTTCCTTTTCACCCCCACAACAAACTTCCCACTCCAACAACTCTCTACATTATTATTATTCCTCTTCCTCTTCTCCCAAAATATAATAATAATAAAAAAACAAAAACACACAAACACACACACTCACATATGTCTTTTTCCTTGACGAACATTCTCGTACTATACGTTTTACTAGTGCTGATAATATTGTACATGGCTGGCTGCGTTGACGAGCCGAGCTTCAAGCACTATTGCCGAGTATGCAAGAAGGGTTTTATGTGCGGCCGCGCCCTCGGCGGCCACATGCGTGCCCACGGCATCGGCGACGAGAGCGGCGGCAACCTCGACGACGACGACACCCTCAGCGATTGGGACGGCCACCACAAATTCGGCGGCGGCGGCGGCGATGTTAGGTCTAACAATAGCAACAAGAAGATGTATCAATTGAGGACGAACCCTAACCGGTTGAAGAGTTGCCGAACATGCGAGAATTGCGGCAAGGAGTTCTTGTCGTGGAAGTCATTTCTCGAGCACGGCAAGTGCAGCTCCGACGACGCCTCCGACTCGCTTGTTTCTTCCCCCGAGGAATATTCCGGCGACGACGGAGGGCGGCGCGGAGGAGGAGGGTGGTCGAAACGGAAGAGATCCCTCCGTTCGAAAGTTGATAATAATAGTAACTGCATTAGTTCCCCGAGCGAGGACGAAGATCTTCTTATGGCGAGATGCTTGGTACAATTAGCCAACACCACCGTGGAACCGCCGCCGCCTGCGGCAGCAGCGGCCGAGCCGGAGGAGTCGTGCGCGTCGGCCAGCAGGGAGGAGGAGCGGCGGAACCCTAGAACGGCTTATTTCGCACCGCCACCGAAGAACATTAGGGCGGCGGCGGCGGCAACTACGTCTTTCGATCATCAACAGAAGGCGGCGAAAGGGCTGTTCGAATGCAAGGCGTGCAAGAAAGTTTTCAATTCCCACCAGGCGTTGGGCGGCCATAGGGCCAGCCACAAGAAGGTCAAGGGTTGCTACGCCGCCAGACAAGATCAAATTACAGACGAACAAAACAACAACAACAACAACAATGGTGGTGGTGGTGCTACGCTACTGCGGCCGCCGCAGCCGGAGGATGACGTCATCACGAATGAAGAAATGTTCGCGCCGTCGAAATTCGAACAGGGCGGCGGCGGCCACCATCCTCCACCGCCGGCGGCGCTTGTCGGAGCTGCTAGAAGAAAGTCGAAGGTGCACGAATGCTCCATTTGCCACCGGGTCTTCAATTCGGGTCAAGCACTTGGCGGGCACAAGAGATGCCATTGGATCACCTCAAATATTTCTCCAGCAGACACAACAACTTCTAATTCCTTACCCAAATTCCACTTCCAAGACAATGCAGATCCAATTATCCACGGTGGCAATAATACTAATAACAAATTTAAGGCTGACGTGTCGGACAAGCTGGACCTCAATGTACCTGCATGGGCACACGTGTCGGGAGTGAGGCGGGACCCACGGAACCCGTTGAGCTTCGAGGTGTCGACGGACATGCAACTCCAAGTCGTCGGAGAGCAACTTATAAAGAAAGACGAAAATAATAACAAAAGTATTAATTTGAGCAAAAACAAAGTGAAGAACGAAACGACGAAATATGAAGATGATGACGAAGATGAAGCGGATAGTAAGCTGAAGTTTGCCAAATTGAGCGATTTGAAGGAAATGGAGACGAGTGGCAGTTCTTCGCAGTGGTTACAAGTCGGGATTGGCTCGACGACTGAAGCTGCGGCTGCGGTAGTTGGTGGTGGTGGCAGCGGCTGTGGTGGTGGTGGTGGTGGTGCATAAGCTTTTTTTATATTGAAGATAAGTAATGATGATAGGTATATATAAATATGTAGAATGTATATGTACGATGTTTGTATTGATGTAATACAATGTAAATGTTTTATTTATTTTGAAAATGTACAAGAATATAAATTAGGGTTTATATATATGTGTGATCTCTGTCTTACACTACGTTGTTGGTCAACTCATGTATCAAGTATGTTTGGTCCCCTTCTTCTTTTACGGATCTTTATATCATATTAAGCTAAGGAAGAAATAAAAAGTGAAAAGTACTATGTATAATAAAAGTACAAGTACTCTTAGCTTTGTTATTTCTATTATTATTAGGGCAAATTACGGCCACCCCGGAGGTAAGGTCAAATTACGAAATCCTCCATCTTTTTTGGTTAATTACAACAATCCCTCTTAATTATGAATTTTCTTACGCGTCAACTCTTATGGTGCCAAATTCAACATATTTTTTTTTAGATTCCGTTGAATGTTCTCTAGTTTGTACTCGTTTTGCTGTGCAAAAAATACAGTTTCTGATGCACCAAAATCTGATATTTATGAGCCAAAAGACACATTTTATAATCATCTTGTTTCAAAATGTGGAGCTCGAATTGGGTAAAACGGTACAAACTGGAGAATATTCCACATCATCTAGAAACTTCCACTAAATTTGACACTGGAATGGTGGATGTGTAAGAAGATTTGTAATTAAAGGGATGATTGTAAATTACCAAAATATAAGGGTTTTTTCGTAATTTTATCTTATCTAAGGGGTGGCCCGTAATTTAATCTTTATCGATATAGTATATATATATATATATATATATAGTAAAGTTATATAACTTCACTTAATAATTTCCATAAATTAATTAAAATCATGCACCAATAAATAATATTGCGAAAAACTGATGATATTATTATATAAATCAGTGAAAATTTAATTAATTAGCAAGTGATTGATAAGATTTTCCAGGCTGCCAATCAGCAGGAATGACGTGTCTGGCGACGATAGTTTTGTTGGTTCGCCGAGTGGTTATCCTGATTGAGAACGGAGCTTTAACGCCGTTAGCCAAGTCAACTTTCCAAGTAGCACCCCATGAATGCTGCATGGGTAGCCACTCGTTACCGTTTCTTGTTTGCAGGTCAACGGCAGAAAGGTCACCGTCTCCGTTCACGTACTTAACTACGCATGCGAAATAGTTCGGGTTCGAGCCTTTGTCGATGTCGAACGCCAAATTCGTACGAGGATAATTGCACCGCACCCTGCATTTGAAAATCGTAACCTATAGTTAGCATTACTAATAATTTTTTTAATTTTTTTTATATTCAATGCATATAAGAATATAAAATAAATAAAAAATATATTGCCTAAACGAAATTAAACAAATAATTTGAGCCCGGCCAAAAAATGTTCACCTTCTATATTCAACTTTAAATGTGCCGGCGTTACGAAGCGCTTGAGCCCGGCCAGGCTTCGCCATAGCACCGAAGGCGGCCCCACTTAAATCGAAATGTACATTTTGACCGTCGCAGCCGCACTCGTCTGTTATTGTCACCGTCACTGCTTTACCAGAGCAGTTTGGGTTTTCGCTGCGTCTGCATTTTACCTGATAATTTAATTTAATTTAATTTTTCATATATTAAATTAAAATGTTTAATTAATTCAGTAATTAATTAGTAGAAAATAAGAAGTGATTTATAAAACCTGGTAGCAAGCCCCGCAACCCATTCCCGATTGAAATAGATTCGCATTCCCGGCTGCTATCATCGCTGAAAATGGTCGTTTCTCGACATTGAAACCGTACCCACAGGCTCCTCCTACTGAAAAAAATATAAAATAAAAATAATTATCGAAAATAATAGCAAATAATCAAATTTATATTCGAAATGAGTTGATCTAGATTAATTAATTACCACTGCCGGCTCCGTTAGGGTCTCCGTACCATGTCGCCACGGCTGCCGAGAAACGACTTCCCGCCGAAGAATTATTATGTTTTTGTGTTGTGATGCAAAAACAATAATTTTGCAGAATTGAAATAAGAATTATGAATGCAAATAGGACGTAATTAGGCTTAAGATAATTACAAATAATCCCCATTTTTTTACTATTGAACACAAAATAAAATCAATTCAGGGTAGGAGTATATATATATGTTTAATTTGGAATTAATAATTAAATATTTCTGATACTGTAATTTTAAATTAGACTGAATAGTGAATATTGTGAAGAAAAAATTACTTAATTAAGATTGACCAATAAATCAATCAATTGGATTCGGGCGTAATCAAATCGGGTAGGATCTTAAAATATGTATATAATATCAAACCCAAATTAATATAAGAGGATTTATAGTTTGACGAAATGAATCAACTGAATCAGCGACCAAAAATATATATTACTAATTAATTTCATCAAATTAATTAATCATTTATTACTAGTTTTTACACAATAACATAAATTGCAACAAAAAATTAACATCAACATTATTTTATTTTAACCCCCTAAACTTAGGTTAACTAATGAAAAACACCTCGACCTACTGTAATAACCAAAATTTCCTTCCGATTAACTGTTGATCGAGTTTTTTAATAGAAAATGTGTACAATCTATTATACCTTATGTTAATAGGTGAGAAATAAAAGAAAATATCTGAAATTGTGTAAATTTGTTCTCTGGAATAAAAAAAATTTCGTAAAAACTCACACTGTAAGTGGTTGGTGTAAGACGGAAACAAACCTCAAGGGTGTTTTGATAATTATGAATAGATGGAGATGGTTTTTATAATTTAATCTAAGTTTCGGGTGGTTTTTGAAATTTACCCTTTTATTTATGACAAACATATACTACCAAGTACAAACTTAATTATTTTGACTTCTCACTTAACTTATTTATAATTAAGTTGACTTGAAATTACAGTGGTGCTATTAATTAACTGATAATCACTCAATAGTCAAAAGTTGACCATGGATCTGTAAGTTTGACCGGGCTTGTAATTGGCAGGTATAACTTTGTCGGCGACGATTGTTTTCCCGGAATTGCCGCCGGCAGTTAGTCTAACGGAGAACGGCGGCTTATAGTTTGGCGGTAAGTCAACCTTCCAAACGGCACCCCACGACGGCTGCATTTTCAGCCACGCGCCGCCCGACTTCGCCGCCTGTTTGAGCTCAACTCCGGCGAGGCCATCCCCGTTTTCGAATTGAACGGCGGCTGCAAAATAGTTCTCGTTCGTACCTGGGTCGACCCGGAACGCCACGGATACTCCGCCAAAGTTGCAGTGCACTCTAAAAAATTAAGAATAACAATAATTATTATTTATTTAAAAAAAAAAAATCCCAAATTATTTAGTCACTTTAGAATAACATTAAAGCTTTGATTGCATTATTTTTCAATTTTGTCACATATCAATTCTAATTAATTTAAAAAAAAATAGTTGAAAAGCAATTCATATATAAAAATGGTATTTTTTTTAATTTTCTACGTTTCTCTGCTGTAATATAATTCACGAATATTTATTGATTTTCTTAATCATAACAACCAAAACGACAACTAATATGAGAAATAATCAATTATATTGCTAAGAATTAAGCTACTTAAACGTCGTTACGAAATCAATTATATGGCAAAGAAAATTTTGAAAATGTGGTTATACTTTATTTGTAAGATTTAATTATATAGGAATATGTTAGAAAAAATTCCCATGCAATAAAATTGAAAAAATAAAATATTAATAAAATACCTCCTATATTGAATTTGTTCAATTCCCACATTCCTAAGTTGATTTTCCTTTCCAGAAATAGCCATGGTTCCAAAAGAAGAACCACTCAAATCGAACAAAAGCGACTGTGAGTCACAGCCCGGGCACTCGTCTGTTATAACCACCGTCACCGGATTCCCCGAGCAAGATGCAGTTCTTGTACATTTCACCTAATAATAATTAAAAATATAGAAATTAGTTCAAGTCAATTTTCTTTAAAAATATTCATGCAACTTGCATGTTATTGTTAATTAACAATAGCATGCATGAAAAAAAAAAATAGAATGTATAATAATATTTTTTTAATTAATCAAAATTACCTGAAAACAAGTTCCACAAGCCTTGCCCGAATTGTAGATAGACGAAGCAGCAGCTGTTATTAGTGAAGAAAACGGCGCTGCCTCAACGGCGTTTTGATATCCACATGCACCCCCTTCACACGTATATACAACAAAATTATTTAGTTTAATTTATTTATTACTTAATTACACTAAATTAAAAAAAAATAGTGAGAAAGAGGAAAATAACAATTAAAAACACCAAAAGGTTATGTAGTTAATTTTAATTTATCACAACTTGTTAGCACTTAACATTTTAAAATATGTAATTAACGACTATAAGTTACTTTTTAAAACTAAGTATAGAAATAACAAAATATGTTACCAATTTATATATTTTTTTGTTGAATTAGTCAATATCTTACCAACACTTCCTGCACCGGAAGGATTTCCGTACCAGCTGGCTCGGGCTGAAGACCAGCCCGAGCCAGAATCGAGCTTCGAAACATTTAGCAATTTGAGATTGAAGCAATAGCATAAATTGAATAAAAGGGGAACTAAAGCTAAGTACGTGAAAAGAGAGTTATGCAAAACAAAAGCCATGAGCAAGAAATTGGGGGAAATTAATTAACAAATTAGGGTTTCTCAAGTGTGGAGGAGTGATTGATTTGTAGATTTGGAACACCCTATTTATAGAGTGATCAAAATGAAAATATGATACGCTTTACGTGTATGTGGGGTCAACAAAAATAAATAAAATATAATTCATAGATCAAACTATATATATTCTTCAATATTTGTTAACCGTTTACTTTTGAGATGTTGATGTAGAAAAACTTTTCAATTAAATATGAAAAAAACATTTTTAAAATACGATTCAGTAAAAGTCTCAGGGCCCGTTTGGCTAAATTTATTTTAAATAATAACAGATAAGCTCTAATAAGTTGTTTTAAGAGCTAATAAGTTGTTATGTCTTATTTTTAGAGTTAATCTTTAAAACGTTTGGATAACAAGCGTATAAACTATTTTTACTCATTATAAGATCTTAAAAAAACGTGGGATATATGTACTTTCTAAAAAAGTATCTTAAAAACTCTGCACGAGCTTGTTTTTCAGAAGTATATTTTTTCAAAAAATATCAAACACTTTGAAAGAGCTTATAAGCTCTTAAACATGTTATAAGCTCTTTATAACAACTTATAATAAGTTTAGCCAAACACTCTCTTAGTCAGGTTTATCGGGTTTTGCGCAAATCGAATTACTTTTTTTTTAATCTTTGTTTTTCAATTTGATAAAATTTTATATAAGTACGTTTTTAATTGAAAGTGCTAATTACAGAATTTACTCTGCAATGCATCATAATTTGAGGGCCTCGTGTTTCTTGCTTGGTGTATTTTGATTGGCAGAAAATAAGGCTATTTTAATCCACCGTTAACTGAAAGAGACCCATGCAGGAAAAAACGCCGTTAAAATAGCCGTTAATGTCGGTTATTGACCGTTGGCCGTTGATCTTCACATGTCGACGGTTAGTTCTTGAAAAAGTCCCCACGTGGGCGTCGCTCTCCAACTGAAGAGATAAGTCATAA